ATTACATATACATGGTCTATAATACACTAAATCAAAAAAGAAAACAGTAAAATTTATTGCATCTTAAAGCATTTATGCACGTAATATATTTATTTCATCACACAGGTACTAGACTATGTAGTTTTCCATGGAAGTTATTAAAATGATGCAGATTGATTTATTTCTAATGGTGTATATGAGAAGAAAACATGATATGAGGAAAGATTCACAAGTCAAGGAATTCAGTAAGAAGTGTTTAGGAAAATGGTCTTTATTTCAATGACATAACAAAGGCTAAAAGAAGTGGAAAGTTCATTTTGTGAATGTATGACAGTTCTCTAACCAACAGCAGTGGAAGTACCAAGTTAGGCTGATGTCAACTTGGTAATATATAAAGACACTTGTTGAAAAAAAGCAAGTCATGATGGCCTGAGTGGCTTTTGTTTTTAATATTTTTATCTAACCCACAAGGCTAAACAATGTTACTATGTGTTATTAAAATGAAAGCGAGTGTGCGCGTGTTTGACTTCTTGCTAGTTACATGTTTGACTATCTGCAGTTTACATGAGAAAAACAAGACTGGCTTGACTGGAAGGTTTATTGATAGAGGGGATATATCTGTTCTCAAATAAATTTTATAATATCAAACGGTGTCCCTTCTGATAATTATTGGCTGCTGTGCAGGCATTAATGACTAGCCAGTAAATCAGAGACTGTATGACATAATTCTGCTTCCGTGGAAAAATTCTGAAACCCATTCCAAGAGGCTGAAGCCAATATCAATGCCACAACCTCTATGGTGACCGAAGTCATGTATTTTTCACTGAATTATGTATAAAGTTCAACAAAGGAAAACAAACAAGTCAGTGGAAGAGAATAAACGTGAATAAGTGATGAAAAGCCAAATTGACCCATAAAGCACAAGACCAAACTGTTAAAAATTATGGTAAGAATAAATGAGTCATAGTTCCCTTTTAAAAACTGACAACATAACTGAAAGACCTTATTTATGAAATCTTATACGAATTGCTTTCCACTGCACATTTTTCTTCTGAATTAGGAACAACTTCTAATACTACATTTACATTATCTTTCCCACTGATGGTTTATAATGTTATCAGAGTTAAACAAGTTTGCATGCAGAATAACCTCTTTAAAAAGGTTTTTTGGAGGAAAAAAACCAGCCAAATGATCTGATAATTTTCTAGAATAAGTCTAGAAAAACAAGTTTTCACCATGATTAAAAATCAGGAAAACAAAGGAGAAATCTAGAACATAGTTTAGAATGTGCTACCATCTAGTTCTATTTAATTTGGGAAAGCATGGGGGATAAAAGTATCTCATACTGCGCAGATGCTTCTCACTGACGTATCAAAAATTCTACCACAACTGAAAAGCTATAGGAAAAGTACTGGAATATCTAGAAAATAAAGTACTCCTGAAAGTGCAGTTTACACACTTTCAGTAGACAGAAGGATTTGAAGGTTCCTTCAGTGCATCGATGATAATTTCTTGATGTAAATGGTGGATGAGTCGACCAGGAGAGATGCGCTGCTGGATCTTGTAATCACTAACAAGGAGGGTCTGGTTGAAGCGGTGAAAGTTGAGGGCAGCCTTGACTGCAGCCACCATGAGATGGTAGAGTTTAGGATCTTGTTCGACAGGAACAGAATACCAAGCAGGATCATAGCCCTGGACTTCAGCAGGGCCAACTTTGGCCTCTTCAAGCAATTGCTCGGGAAATCCCATGGAACAGGGTACTAGAAGGTAAAGAGGCCCAAGAGAGTTGGTCAGTATTCAAGGACCACTTCTTCCAAGCTCAAGATCAGTGCATCCTATCAGGTAGGAAGTCAAGAAAGAGAGCCAGAAGATCTGCATGATTAATCAGGGAACCCGTGGGCACACTCAAGTGGAAGGAGAGAGTCCATAGATCATGGGAGGAGGGGTTAGCCACTTGGGTGAAATAGTAGACTGTTGTCAGAGGATGTAGGGAGGCAACTAGGAAAGCAAAGGCCTCCTTGGAATTAAACTTTGCAAGGGAGGTCAAGGACAACAGCGAGGGCTTCTTCAAACACATTGCAGACAAAACTAATGTAGAGGCAGTGTAGGCCCTCTG